TTAAGAATGATTTGCTCTTTGTAATTTTGAACTACATCAGACATGATTCCCATTTAAGAAGGGATACATAGGCTCTCTTATGGGGTTCGGTCTTATCATAATAAAAATTTCATTCTTCCCCTTCTAACTGTAACTGAGGCAGAATTTTTGAGAGGGCCTCAAAAATTCTATTAGAAGGACATCTCTTACAAAATGATGAAACTAGAGGAGAACTTTTAGGTCTTGAAAAATTCTCTCAAACAAGTGTTTTCTGCACAAACCAAGACTGGGCAGAATTTTGAGAGAGTCAAAAATTCTTTCAAGAGTGTATTCTCTTGCAAATCAAGACTGGGCAGAAGTTTTGAGATACTCTCATAAATTCATAGCAAGCAAGCTACAATCTAGAACAGATCAAAATAACAAAAGTTACACTAGGGTAGTAAATTTTGAGGGGACCTCAAAATTTTCGATAATCTCCGAAGGACATTGTATCAGACGTCAAAGGATCATGCTGTGTCAAATCATTGATGCAAATCAACCTCCCCTTCAAACTTACTATTTTTTTAAATACAGAAAATGCAGGTAAATATAAAAAGACAACTTCAACATCACTGAAGAATCAACATGCCACGTTTGAGCCCGACAAATGACATTCGATCCTTCCAACAAGCATATGTCCATGATACTTCATGCCCTCAATAACTATTATGCCCAAATATTACATCTACTCGGAGAATGCAATGTGCCCGTATGCATATGTCCAAATTGCATTTTGCTCGAAGATTACATGTGCCCGAATTGCATCGTGCCTGAGATTGCATGTGCCCGAAGCTGCATTGTGCCCAAGAATTGCATGTGCTCGAGAACTGCATTATTGCATATGGCCTAGACTTCATTATGCCCGAGACCATATCAAACCCTAAAACTGCATTGTACCTGCGATTGCATTGTGTTCAAGGATTGCATGTGATCGAACATATCTTCACAAAGTTACCACTGATTCAAGCCGCAAAATGCTAGAATTACATAAAAACAGATGCACTTTTTGTAACATTCCAGAAAGTGTAATTGTCTAGTGAAGAGTCTATTTGGTTTTAAGAATATGTATTGGGGTATATAGGCATCCCAATGCCCAATATTAAGTAAGATTGTGCTTGTAAGAGATTATTGGCTTAAGGGTGTTAGCCAATTTCTATATATTAACAAGTAACTTAAGATATACTTTATGTTCAAATGCCCAATCCAAGCTTGTTTAGGAATTGTACCTGCAATGAAGACTCTAAGCTAAAATTTTTCATTGCTTAGATTCCACACATTAGGTACGAGGCATCCATGAGTCAATCTTGGATACCATAGCACATGATCATTTTAAATGATCATGTAGATTAAGTAATGTCCAAGGACATAGTGAGGATCCTTGGGACAAGAAGTGAAAAAGAAGTGTGCAGCAACACATGTGCTAACCGCCAAGGGACCAAACACCAATTGCAACCGAATTTGGGTAGGGCAGTTAGGGGGAAGGCGCACATCAAAAAATTGTAAGAAAAACATCGGTTCTCCTTAGGCAATTTCAAGGCGATTCTTCATTATTTTCATGCAAAGTATAAGGTGATCTTCGTATATTTAATTCTACAGTAAGGTGTGGGTTTTTTCTCTTGGATTCCTTTCCCTAGGAGGCTTTTCAAACATTTTTGAATTCAAGAAAACCGAAACTAAATTGTCGAATGTTCATCTCTCTAGTTCTCCCTATATTCGATTCTAGTAGTACGTATAATGCAGATCTCAAGCATGTTGTTGGTATGTGGTGCGAATTGATCATTATGTGTATGTTTTTATGATTTGATGATGTCGAATGAGACCTATAAGTTAGATCTGTATGATTAATACCAAATTGTGTTCGAGAAGATGAAATTATTATAAGTCGTTTATGAAATTCAGTTTACTGTTGAAAGGAATGAAGGTTTCGATTACAATTTTTGTTTTACAGTAGATATCTTTGTAAGTGTTTGGAAGGTAATGTTTCCAAGAAGAAATAAGAATTAGAATCAAAGCTAGTTAATGAATCTTCAATGCCAAATCAGCTTTATAGATTGGCCCAACTAAGCACTGAATTGTTCATATGATCTAATCAGAACAAATGTTAAAAGTTGGCTTGCTTAAAATGACGAGATTTCTATAGTATATACACGAAGTTAATTGACTTGGATAATAATAATATCATGACAAGTGTTTAGTGAAAGTTTGGTTTATGCCGATAAATTGTCTAGCAAAATTATTACCAAAAAAATGATATAGAGTTGACCAATGACTAACCATACAAATCTTATATGGACAATGTAAATTATGATGTTTCTTGTAAGGCCAAATACATGTTAAAGATTGACTTGACAAGTTATAACTCAATTAACTCATAACGTAGGGTATGTTAATGATAGGGACAAGCCCCAACATACCCCATCTAAATGAACTTGTGAACATCAAACACATTGAATAAGTCCTTACAACTTTCAATAAGAACGGTACAAGACTACCGAATAATGTTGAAAAAGATAAGGTGAGTAATGAAATAACGTAAAAGCTTATGAGTCATGAAATTGACAAAGAATGGGGTGTTAAAGGAAGTGAGACAAGTCTCTTTTTCACCTAAACAATTATGTTAAAGATACTCACATAAGAGTGTGTTAGAAATCATGAGACAAATCTCATTCATACCATAATGATAATGTACGATTAACTTCACATTAATCAAGTACAGAAAGGGATGACAAGTCATCCATTAATCTAAGTATACCTCATACTAGAAGCAAACTTACATATTTTATGAGTTAACTCTAAAAGTTGTAAAGTATAAGAATTTGAGCTAAGCACCGATAGACTAGTAATGAGCTTGTGCTAGCACATGTAAGCCTCATGAGATAAAAATACCGCAAAGGTGGATAAGGGTCTCCAAATTCTCTTAGTATTTGAAGTGTGCCGCCAGCAGAGGTTACTAGCTAGTGGATCCACCTAAGAACGCAAGGAAGTATTTGGCTTCACTTTACCCGGTGAATCACCTCTTTTCAGTGTGGGGAAGACATTGAATTTCATGTTAGCTCACATGATCTATGTCGATTAAATGCTAACGATTTCTTTAAGAAAGTAAGAAAGAAAGAAAGAAAGAAAGAAAGAAATAGGAATATGAGGGGTGTTCGGATAGGATGACCAAAGGTTAAGGTTAGACTAAGTATGATGTAAGTCATTCTTAGTCATTGGACAGAAAGATCCCAATGGAAGTCTTAAAAGACTATCCTAAGTCAATCTAGCATGTTCAAAGTGAACATGAAATCAAAGAAGACGAAAAGTAAGTTCAAAATGAACTAAGTAAGCAAAAACATAAGTATATCAAATCATCAGTGTTTGATAAAAATGAAGTTTTAATAGTTATTGGCTTATGACAATCAAGGGAGCAATACATAATGACTCATAAATTAGAGTATTAATATATGCCCCGCCATCTTTATATTATTCAAATGATAAAATGATGGGCATAGCCAATAAATATTGGCTTATAAAGACATCATGCCCAATTTAACAAGAATGGAAAGAATAACTTTTGAGTAGGGCAGTCAAATCATTTCCTTAGTCTTTTGGATTACTTACTTGATTAATGTAGGAGTAGGACTACAATAAATCATTGCACACGTAAGTAAAACATAGGATCAAAGGAGATCATTGAACTACACCACAAAAAAAAGAAAAGACTGAAAAATAAAATAAGTCTGGGAAGAGAAGCTCTCGGCCTAAGGGGGAGCAAAAATATTAATTTTTGCTCGAGTTGTTCTGAAATCATGCTCATGATTCCAAGGTCTTATGTTCATATAGAAAAGTATTTGTGTGCTATAAATTTATGAAAATATGTCATATTCATATCGTGACTCATAAATAACGAATCAGGAAAGTAAAGTGACTTTACTTTCCAAAAATGGCATGTTGCTATAGGAAGGACTTTCCTTGATCATGCATAGTCCTTATGTGTTTATGTGCATATAACCATATTTAGTACAATTGTGTACTAACCCATATACAATTACTATTTTTATAGGTGCAGGTCATTGAAGAAGATTGAAGATCAGTTGACGTTGTTTGGACCAGTACCTCCAGACTTTGGTAGGTCCTCTTGAGTTCGAGGATGCCTACGCTTTATCTTCTAGCTTTAGTAGATTAGACAGTGATGTTGTCTCTATCATTTCCTTTCAAACATTTTTTCAAGCTTTTTTATTAAGGCCGGTTTGGCAACTATTAAAGATATTATGAATTTTTCATTTCAATTGTTCAATCGGTTAATAGATGGTTGTTTATTTTGAGCCTTTAGTATATCACTCTTATGCAAAAATTATATGAAGTCTAAGTACACTTCAGTAAAGTTAAAAAGTTTTAAATTTTCTTCTAAATTTAATAGTATGATTGTGATGAAAGCTAAGAAGAGGCTTGTTTGTGACCTCTACGAGGTTATCGATGCTGGCCTCATCTAGGGTCTAGGACCCGGGTGTGACAAACTTGGTATCAGAGGATGAGGTTAAATTACCTATGAACTAAGTCTCAAAACAACCACGTAGCATAGTTTCTAGCTTATGGTTGTGAAGTGCCACAACCATGACTTAGAGACGTAGTGATGTAAAGAATCTTCCCTTCCTCTACTCTTTATCGTGCTGTGTAGAGCTTTGACATTTTGTGTCATTCGATCATCTAACTACCTTCTTGTGTGTGCATATAGAAAAATGAACACAAGAAGAAACGCAGGAAGGAAGGTTGGAGAAGCAGCTGCAGGGGGAAACCAAGCTCCTTCTCAAGCCCCTATTGTTGAAGTGAAAGTGCCTGTCAACCCAGCTTCATTGACGGATAAACAAGTGAGAGAAGCACTGGTTTGGATAGCCCAAGCCATCACTGCTGAAGCACAGGCTATTACAACCCAGACCACTAGAGAGGGTCCTCCCAGGGAGATCCCACATGACCATGGCTAGCAGACTGAGAGATTTAACAGAATGAATCCTCCAGTCTACTTCGGGTCTAGAACCAACAAGGATTCCCAGAAGTTTGTTGATGAAGTCCACAAGATTCTCTGTGCTTTGGGTGTTAATGAAGAGGAGAAGGCTGAGTTGGCTGCATACCATCTCAAGGATGTGGCTCATGTATGGTACAAGACGAGGGTAGTAAGGTTTTAGTTTCCTAGTGAGTTATAGCTGGAATGGTAAGGGCGTAGTTCAAATCCAACTAGCCAAATAGTTTCCCATCTTAAAGCCAATAAGATGATATCTAAACGGATATTTATACCACTTAGTCAGAGTCAATGACTTAAAACATGAAGTTCCTTCAATAGACTCTGTGTCCATAGTGAAAGAGTTTCAAGATGTATTTCCTGAGGATTTTCCAAGAATCCCTCCTGAACGCGAAATTGACTATGGTATTGACTTATATCCCAACACCAAACCATTTTCATTCCTCCCTATAGAATGGATCCAATTGAACTCAAAGAGTTGAAGTTGCAGTTAAAAGATCTACTTGATAAGGGCTTCTTCCAGCCGAGCATATCCCCAAGGGGTGCTTCGGTGTTGTTCGCTAAGAAAAAGATGGAACCCTTAGAATGTGTATCGATTATCGGAAACTCAACAAAGTAAATATAAAGAATAAATACCCGTTTCCCAGAATTGATAATTTATTTGAACAGCTCCAAGGTTCAAGTTTCTTTTCTAAAATAGATCTCTAGTCATGGTATCACCAGCTTAGAGTAAGATAAGAGGAAATTCCTAAGACTTCCTTCCATACTAGGTATGGTCATGACGAGTTTCTTGTCATGTCATTTGGTCTCACTAATGCACCATCCACGTTTATGGACCTTTTGAATAGGGTCTTTTTCGAATACCTTAATTGTTTTGTCATAGTATTTATAGATGACATCCTCATATACTCTAAGACTAGAGAAGAGCATGAACAACTTTTGAGAATGACATTACAAGTACTCAGATAACATCAGTTGTATGCAAAATTCAATAAATGTGAGTTTTGGTTGAGATCAGTGACCTTCCTTGTTCATGTTGTGCTCGACCAGGGTGTAGAGGTTGATCCAAAAAAGATTGAGTCACTAAAGAACTGGCTGAGACCCCTCACTCCTACAGACATCTGGAGTTTCTTGGGTTTGGTTAATTACTACCGCAGGTTTGTTGAGGGCTTTTCCGCTATTGCTGCTCCATTGAAAACTTTATTAAAGAAGAAGGCAAAGTTTGAGTGGTATGAAACTTGTGAAAAGATCTCAAAGACCGACTCACTTCAGGCCCAGTTGTTCTCACATTGTCGAGGAGTAGTGAAGGGTATGTGTTGTACTGTGATGCTTCCCGAGTAGGTTTGGGATGTGTTCTTATGCAGGATGGCAAAGTGATTGCATATGCATCAAGATAGTTGAAAATCCACGACAAGAATTACCCTACCCATGATATTGAGTTAGATATTGTGGTATTTGCGTTAAAAATTTGGAGACATTACTTATATGGTGTACATGTTAATGTATTTACTGACCATTAAAGTCTTCAATATGTTTTTACACAGAGAGAATTGAATCTTCGTTAGCAATGATGGCAAGAGCTGCTCAAGGATTATGACATGAGTGTCCACTATCACCCAGGTAAGGACAATGTAGTGGCCGATGCTTTGAGCCTATTGAGCATGGGCAGTGTGTCTCATATTGATGATGAGAAGAAGGAGCTGGTTAAAGAGGTACACCAATTGGCTAGGTTAGGTGTACGACTGGTAGATACACCAAGTGCGGGTGTTTCAGTTCATTCCAGTTCTGAATCCTCAGGTGTTGTAGATGTTAAAGATAAGCAGCATCTCGACCCAGTACTCATAGAGTTGAAAGACTTAGTGTTGAGTAAGCTGAATGAAACATTCTCCCTAGGGGGGATGGTGCGCTTAGATACCAGGGCCTATTGTGTGTTCCCAATATTGATAATCTAAGACCTAATATTATTGTAGATTCTCATGGCTCCAGGTATTCCATTTATCTAGGTTCCACCAAGATGTATCATGATCTCAAGAGGATCTATTGGTGGGGAGGTATGAAGTGAGATATTTCTATGTTTGTGGAGGAGCTTCCCCATTGCCAACAGGTTAAGGCCGAACACCTTAAGCCTGGAGGTCTGAGCTAGTCGATTGAGATCCCAACATGGAAGTGGGAGGCTATTAATATGGACTTTGTGGTTGGTCTGCTCAGAACCAGGAAACTGCATGATTCCATTTGGGTCATTATTGACGGGATGACTAAGTCTGCTTACTTCAATCATGTGAAGTCTACTTAAAGGGACGAAGATTATGCCAAGTTGTATATTTATGAGATAGTGAGGTGGAATGGGATCCCTTTATCTATCATTTCGGATAGGGAAGCTTAGTTCACTTCTCACTTTCGGAGATATTTCTAAAAGATCTTAGCTACACAGGTGAAGCTCAATAGTGCTTTTCTTCCTAAGACGGATGAATAAGCAGAGAGTACCATTTAGACCCTTAAAGACATGCGGAGAGCATGTGTTATTGACTTCAAGGGGAGTTGATATGATCACTTGCCACTGATTGAGTTCTCTTATAATAATAGCTACCATTCCAGCATTGGGATGAGACCTTTTGAATCACTATATGGAAGGAGATTTAGGTCCACAGTTGGGTGGTTTGAGGTAGGAGAGTTTTCAATCCTTGGCCCTGAGATCATACATGAGGCTATGGAAAAGTTGAGAATGATCAGGGATAGACTGGCTACTGCTTACAATTGTCAAAAATCCTATGCTGATAATAGGTAGAGGGCTTTTGAATTCGAGTTAGGTGATCAAGTCTACTTGAAGATATCACCCATGAAAGGAGTGATGAGGTTTGGTAGAAAAGGGAAGTTGAGTCTGAGGTATATAGGTCCTTATGAGGTCTTACAACGAGTAGGGAATGTTGCCTATGAATTGAAGTTACCAAAAGATTTGGCTTCTGTTCATCCAGTGTTTCATGTTTTGATGCTTAAAAAATGTCTAAGCGATCTAGCATCCATCATACCTGTTGAGGGCTTAGGAGTCGATATAAATCTTTCTTATGAGTGGTTCCAGTTGAAACTTTAGATCGCCAAGTGAAGCAGCTGCGCAACAAGGAGGTTGCAACCATAAAGGTGTTATGGAGGAACCACCTTTTTGAGGGAGCAACATGAGAGGCCGAGGCCGACATGAGATCCCGTACCCTCACTTGTTCAGTTCTTGAGGTTATATATACTTTTCCTAAGTCTGATTTTGTTTATGAAACTCTAAATTTTAGTGCATTAGTCGGTTTTGGAATTTTTAGTCTATAACTCTATTTTATACTTGCACTATATGAGTTAATATGAGTTCATGCTTGCTTTCATGTTGCTATTTTTGTATAGCGTTGACATGATTTTTGTGTCGCATGAGTTGTGATATGCATTGAGTTGAAGTGAGATTGAGAAGGAAGTTCCTCAATCTCATATATGAATCTTCAAATAAGCTTTAAATGATGTGCATCATCTAGAGTAAGTTGTGAATCAGATATTCACAAAGAGTAAAGTTTCAAGCATATTGATGTGTTTTTCGAAAATACCATATTTGATTTAAAATGATGTGTAGTGTCATTCGGGGATGATTGTTCCTAAGAGGGGGATAATGTAACATTCTAGAAAATATACTTGTCTAGTGAAGAATCTATTAGATTCTAAGAATATGTATTGGAGTACATAGGTATCCCAATTTTCAATATTGAGTAATATTGGGCATGTTAGAGAATATTAACTTAAGGGTGTTAGCCAATTTCTATGTATTAACAAGTAACTTAAGATATACTTTGATGTTAAAATGCTCCAGTCCAAGCTTGTTTAGAAATTGTACCTGCAATGAAGATCCTAAGCTAAAAAATTTCATTTCTTAGATTCCATACATTAGGTACGAGGCATCCAAGTTTCAAGCCTAGGGACCATAGCACATGATCATTGAAAATGATCATATAGATTAAGTAGTGCCCAAGGACATAGTGAGGATCCTTGGGAAAAGAAGTGAACAAGAAGTGAAAGATAAGTGCGCAGCAACACATGTGCTAACCGCCAAGAGACCAAGTGCCAAGACCAACCGAATTTGGTTAGGGCACTTAGGGCAGACGCGCGTCGGATAAAGCCACGTGGGGCCTACCTTACTAACCATTCCTAGCCTCTAAATAACTTACCTAACTAGCTTACTAACCTAGGACTAACTAAAATAAACTAACTAGTGTTCCCAAAATCCTAAGACCTAACCGGGTGACACTAGCCGAGAAACTAATTAAAGAAACATCCTAGTACCTAACCTAGGATGGTCGAAAGGGGTTGGTTGTGGTCCTAGTGACTTAAGGGTACTTTAGTAATTACCTTAGGTCACTTAGTTAATTAAATTAGCAACTTAATTAGTTAATTAAAATCATAGTCAAACTCTAGACCCTAGCAAATTTTCAGAATTCGGCTAAGTCAAATGCTCTCGTATTTTTAGTAAATTTAGGAGGGGCATTTTGGTGATTAGCTAATTGATTTATTTAATTAAGTTAATTAATCTAAGTTGAATTATTCAATATTCAGTTCCTAAGACCTAGAATCACGTTTATCTAATAGAAACTCACGATTGAAAAAAAGTGAACAAACGAAAGAAAAACATATCGGTTCTCCTTAGGCGATTTCAAGGCGATTCTTCAAGATTTTCATGCAAAGTACAGGGTGATATTCATAGATTTAATTCTACAGTAAGGTGTGGGTTTTCTCTCTTGGATTAATTTCCCCAAGAGGCTTTTCAAACATTTTTGAACTCAAGAAAACCGAAACTAGGGTTTCCCAATGAAATTGCTGAATGTTCATCTCCCTAGTTCACCCTATTTCCGCTTCTAGTAGTACGTATAATTCAAATCTCAAACATGTTGTTGGTATTTGGTGCTAACTGATCATTATGTGTAGGTTTCTATGATTTGATGATGTTGAATGAGACCTATAGGTTAGATCCGTATTTTTAATGCCTAATTGTGTTCGAGAAGATGAAATTGTTATAAGTCGTCTATTTAATTCACTGTACTATTGAAAGGAATGAAGGTTTCAATTACTGTTTGTGTTTTACATTAGATATATTTGTAAGTGTTTGGTATGCAATGTATCCAAGAAGAAATAAGAATGAGAATCAAAGCTAGTTAATGAATCTTCAATGCCAAATAAACTTTATAGCTTGGCCAAACTAAGCACTGAATTGTTCTTATGATCTAATCAAAACAAATTTTAAAAGTTGGATTGGATAAAATGATGAGATTACTATAGTATATACATGAATTTAACTGACTTGTCTAGTAATAATATCATGACAAGTGTTTAGTGAAAGTTTGGTTTATGCCAATAAATTGGCTAGCAATATTATTACCAAAAAAAGAAATGATATAGAGTTGGCCTATGACTAAGCCATACCAATCTTATATGGCCAATGTAAATTATGATATTTCTTGTAAGGCCAAATACATGTTAAAGATTGACTTGACAAGTTATAACTCAATGAACTCATAACCTAGTGTATGCCAATGATTGGGACAAGTCCCAACACACCTTATCTAAATGAACTTGTGAATATAGTAGCACATTGAATAAGTCCTTACAAGTTTCATAAAGAATGATAGAAGACTACCAAATAATGTTGAAAAAGATAAGGTGAGTAATGAAATAACATAAAAGCATATGAGTCATGAAATTGACATAGAATGGGGTTAAAGGAAGTGAGACAAGTGTGATGTCCCGCCACAATTTCAGCAAGATTTAGCATCCGAATGGGGCAGAAGGATCTAGAGTTGAAAAGAGGTTTGCAGAGAACTATAGAACCTTCTAGATTTCTAGAGTAGACTAGAGAATTCCTTAGAATTCTCTGGAATACTTTATATCCTTTTGGAAGGGTTTGTCATATTCTACAGAGTGTAGAATTCTCTAGAATATGGACTAAAGTGTAATTACTTTAGGGACTTGTAGAAAAATATTTATTTACTCTTAGGCCTTTAGGAAGTAGTACAAATAGGAGGGCCTCTCATTTGTAACTCATCTAACAATCCAACCAAAAGTTGTAAGCAAATATTCCAAGCTTAATACAAGCCCTCTTCCAAAGTTCTTTCTAAGTCTTTCATTACATTCTCTTAGCATTCCGAGTCTTAAAGGCTTACTTGAGCTTACAAGATCGTGAAAGATTCGTGAGTAAGTTGTCGAGTGCCGCACGGAGTCTTTGCAAATACTCTAAGTCCGTGACAAAGTGGTATCAGAGCCAGGTTGATCATAAGCGAATGACTAACGAATGAGACGTAAACGGCGCCAACACCACCAACGTCCACATTGATGGAGGAAAGAAGAACCGAAAGGGGAAGAAGCATGAAAGGGGTAACGAGGAAATTCTGCCCAAGCTCACACCTAGCGAGGCGCTATTATATCACCCACCCTCGACTGTCGATGGAAGTGATGAAGAAATAGGCGAAGATGCCATAGATGTCACTGCCGGAGAAGAATAGGTTGCAAGGGTGATATACCGTGGTTTCAAGGTATAATTAATACTTTTTCCTAAGTTTAGTGTGTCCGAAAGCCTTTTTTGTGCTAATTTTGATATAAGTTTCTCTTTGTTTTGCAGGAAATCTGTCCAAAGCTGAATGCGGAGATTTTGAGCGAATAATGCAGAAGAGACCACCTACGGAGCTTATGACGGTCCGTCATGCCTGAGACGGTCCGTAGGTGGCAGCGTAGAGAAGCTGCTGATGGAAGATGGGGAAGTCTGACCAAGTGTGGGATTACGAAGCTTGTGACGGTCCGTCATGGCTATGACGGTCCGTCCTGCAGGTTCGTCGTGAAGATCAGAGAAGTGATCCAGTACCCAGATTCCAAGAGTTGAAGTATTTTGAAACGAGACCCTCGACGGACCGTTGTGCCTATGACGGTCCGTCACACTTGTCATCAAGGGGAATGAAGAAAGCAGTAGAAGAAATTGCACCAAGTATGGGACGACGGAGCCCACGACGGTCCGTCATGACCACGACGGTCCGTTTCGTGGTCCGTCGACCCAGCCGCGTTTTGGCAGATTTCCAGTAATTAGAATTCTTGTTTAATTAGGTTTTTATTTTTTTATAAATAGTTCAAAAAACCTCGTTTTTGAGGTTAGACTCTGTGAGATAAAACATCATATTATTAGACTTTGTGTTTGAGTGTTTGATTTTTAGAGATTCTTACAAGTGATTTGTGGTGATTAATCAAGCAAATTTTCGGACTTTATTCTTTCTCATTGAAGTAAGTACATGGATTCTTGTTTAACATATTTGAATATTGTGTTTATGGCTATGAGGAACTAAACTCCATAACTAGGGTTGTGGGAACCATAGGCAAATAATGAGATAAACCCTAGCTAAAATAACAATTCTGGAATAGTGTCTTGCATGTATTAATAATTCTTTCGCTTAGAAGTCTTTTTAACGGATGATCAACATTAGAACTCGCCTTAATGCTACTTGCCGGAACACGGAGGTAGATAATAGGAAAAGAATTATCAACATATATTTAGTGTATACTATCTAATAGGCGAGTATTGATTGGTACGAAGTAATAACTTAGTCAAATATTGAATACGATACTTAATATGAGGTAAACATAAGGGTTAGGAAAGCAACACATGCAGCCGGACCATGGTGCGGAGTGAGATTTTCTAGATGCCGGACCAAGGATTTAGAAATACATAACTTATCACTTTGCATGCAAGATACTAGGAAAGAATTGTTATAGTTAGAATTATCA